GTGTCTGTCTGGATTCTGTTCGTTTCTGGCTTTTGGAGACTTTGCCCGTACTCCACATCGTATTACGATCGACTTTGTTTCAGATTTCTCCAACGACTATCCCGCTCCCACCGCAGCGTAGTCGTTTGTCACCTTCGACGATCTCTCCTTTGTCAGCATATATGGCGCGTTCAACCCGTGCTCAGCAAGAGCTTCTTTCTTCTCAATCTGAGGTTCGCGATAAGCAAGGCTCTCCTCCAGTCATATCATCTCAGACCGCACAACAGGCCCGTGGGAATTCACCCACATGGCAATCACTTATTTCTGACGAGGAAATCACTGGGCTTTCCAAACGTGTGGTCACTGCTTCACGTGGTAGCTCTCATCACTCCTCTGCTCATGAATCACGTGCGGGTAAGAAGGCCGATCGTAGTCATTCTAGCCGCTCTCGGTCGAGTTCGCCAGAGAAGCCCCCGAAACGATCTGCCCCTCGGAGTCCGCCGCCTCACCTTGTGGAAAAGTAAGAGACTGTTTGAATTGGTTTCGTCTTCTGTTGTTGTAAGCTTTAAACGTTAGCGCTACGCGACGATCGATTGAGTCTGTTTTCATAATGTCCACTTGTATGCACGTGTTTTTACCGCTTTCTTGTTGTAGGTCAGAACGTGAGAAAGACATTGAGAGGTAATTTGCAGTTTGGGGTAGCAATCTAATCTAATCTGCCAACACTACATGTATTCATGTGTTTGCAGCCGATTTTCTCTCTTTAGAGTTTAAAGGCTAGGTCTGTTTTCCAGTCCATAGCCAAGTCCAGTTGTGCGACTCTAGCCTGTTTTTTTTGCCGCCATCACTTAATCCCGCATTTTGGTTAGCTCTCCATCTGTTTTCGAAGTCTCTAGGATATTTGTCAACTTGACATCTATCAAACAGTATCACCTACGGGCTGACTGAGAGACTTTCTTGCTGTGTTCACGCTATCGCAACTTCCTCGGGGCTGTATAGCTCATCTCTTACGTGCACGTTATGAAGTATGGTTTGCTTGGTCACAAGTTTTTGGTTGCACCTAACTGGTTTGATACCAGTGACATCTGTCCAAGTCTTCCTTTCACTGACTTCTCGGTTCTTCAGATGGCGGATGCGGCATGCCATGTTAAGTCAAAAGCGCCGTGGGGCGGCTTCCGTTTCAAGCTCTTTCCACACACCTTCTTTGTCATCCGATGACCGAGCCCGTTACCTTGATCGACGTAAAGTGCCCTCTAGCACCTTCCGTGCCTCACGATCTCCCTCTGGTTCGTATTCGCCTCCCCGCCGAAGGAGAGTTCGGTCTTCAACATCTCACTCACGATCTGGGTCATCATCCCACGGACGTCGTTCACACATTGTGGATCTGGAACATCCCCGATCACAATCAAAAGGAAGCCATGGCAGCCATAGTCCACGCGCATCTGGATCTGATGACTCAAGACGATCGAAATCTCGCAGTCCACCGTCGCGACATAGAGTTCGTAATCAGGGCACCTCCCCTGTCAAGCTTTCCAAGAGGTTAAAACGAAAACCTGTGTAAGTTGGAACCAGTAGTCTCATCCGAAAATTGAACTCCGGCTTTACCTATTTCATTGCTTGCTTGAGGGTATTGCGATAATCCTAAGTTCTGTGTTGCTTGTGAAAGCAAAGTACCTTTGAGTACAAACCTTACTAAGCCGGGAACTGGTCTTTGGAATATATATGAACGGGAAGTTCGCCTGAATCTCCCATATGAGTCAAGCATGTGTATGGTTGGATCTTTCATTTAACATCAGTGGTTAAGTAACCCGCGAACCGGGAGTTTTGGAATACACTTTCCGCCGATAGAGACGATGTCCAACAGCCATACTACAGCCGGTACTACAATAGGCGAACGTACTCTCGTCAGTAAAGCGCGCATTGCTGGCAGCAGCGAGAAATGCACTTACCACCAAGTGATACTCTCACTTCACAGTGCATACAGTTAGAGAGCTTGACGTCCACCAGTTCAATGCACGCACTACAAGCATTGAGTAACGAATGGTTTTTCCGTCAATTGAAAGTTAAGCCCAACTCATTGCCACAGATACATCTAGATGGAGAGCCTGGTGATGCAATCACTCAGCACCTCTTCAAGTGTGGGCATTAATACCGTCAGTTAGCCGGTATACTGAGGACTGAATGGCCCAGCTGTGTGACTTGTCATAGAGACCGAGACAAGTCTTTGTTGTCCGTGTATAACCGTTCCCCGTGGTTGTGTTCGGACAGTTGTGAACAAAGCATGGTAATCCCCTGGCTGTTTTTGTTCAAGGGCTGTAAATTTTTGAAGGACTTCCATCTTGGTGTTTTGATTTTCTAAAGTCTGCTAAATAATTCCTTAACTGAAGGCATTTCTACGTAAGGTTACTGCACATCAGGATGTTTCTTGTGGGTTTAGTTTGGTTGATCATCCGAAGGCTTTAATTTGTTCGTTCTCAGACGCTGCACCCCCCAGCCACCTGGTAGTGTATCTAACAGTTGCGGTATTGCTTTTCTCATTACACCGTGGATAGACTTGTAGTCATTCTGCTGCACCTATCGCCCAATTGCTTTTGACTGTGATCATTATCGTGGTTACGCTGTAAATGGCTGTCTATTTATTTGAAAAAAAACGGATGTTTTTTTTGTTCCCGTTTCAGTATTGTTCCAATGGCAGCCGAGGGTGACCCTGTCATCGAAGTAAGTCTATGTTTTGCATCATCGGCACCTTGGTTTTTCGCTGACTTACCACTTATTGTTGTGTACACTTTAAGCTGGGCTAATGGCGCATTGGTTTATATCCGCAATACTCTGTACACTGCACTTCATCGCTCTGGCTTTTCTGTCTCAAACAAAGCTGAGCGAAATCAGTTGAGTGTCGTTTCATCTAACCTTCATAATCACCAATAACTCATTTTTATATCCCGCACTTCTGGTACGTGTGGCGGTTTGCGCTGGTGGATCCGCGTCTTTCAATAATTGAGCGTTTCATCATAGGCGATAACCGTTCCAATGAACATTATATTGATCAGGTGTACACTCAAATCTGGTTATTTCTCAGTGATTTTCGACACCACCGAACAGCCCTTCTATCATCTTCAATAGGTAACTAAGTTTCCTTCTTTTTATGAGGTTCGGGCTGATGAGACAATAGTGTTCGGGTAGCCGTATCTCCTCTGTTCAAGGCCCGCTTCGGGTTCACTCAGCACGTTCTCTCTGCTGCAGCACCACTTTGGCTATTTTACGAAGCTGGTGTCCGTTTTCGATGACAGGACTGCGGTAAATTACATGGTCCCATATGATATGCCCATTTTCTATATTTCGTGCTGGAGTGTAGAATAATGCAATAAAAATGTATAATGGAGTGCTAAATAATTGTGCGGTTGCACTTTTCGGAGTCCTCTTCAGGGCTGCTCAAGCACACATACCTTACTGTGTTTTAATAGGCTGGTATATTTTCCGTCTATGCTCCATTCCCCTAATTTTCGCGGCACATACAGGGCAACGTTTCAGTTAGTCTTTGGTATAGCTTGCCACAGTCCCTTCGCAATTGAAGAGAAGCCCAGTCCAGATAGCTTGTTGTCTGGGCTCAAACGGCAATATTTTAATGCAGTAACCAGTTTGCAGGTATGCATATGCGGGGGAAAATACCCGTTAGCTTATGCGCTCAACGAAAGTTATCAAATGTTTTACGCCGCTCTGTTATTCCAAAGGATTGCAAGTTTAGATTTTACTTCGATCAAAGCGATTGTCGGTCATCTCAGTTACTCTGCCCTGATGCTACTTTAATGGGTCTATTCTTGAGGCTCATGCAATTGAACAGTAGTTTTGATAAATCGGGTTGTATTCAGGTCCATGTTACCTGTTTGACATGACGCGGAAGATCAGTATTTGTTGTACTGTCAGCGTTGTACTTTTTCGGTAATTTTGTATTATCGCTAGACCTTTAGGCTACGTTGATAACTAGCACACTTGTGAACTAGGTGTAACATTCGAGGAATTTCACCCAAGTCCTCTTTATTCACTTCATACACTGGCTACAACATACCAGGTGTCGTGGGACAGGGACCTGATTAAATTTGGTTTGCTCCGATCCAATATCCATGCATATTTTTGCCCACCGCACGCGCCATAACTTCTCAAAAACTCGATGACGGTACCCGGCTCCGGATGGTTCTGGTTGCTCTAAGTTTTCTCTTTACAGACTGAACTTCTCACAGTTCACCCTAGAGTTAAAAGTGCATTTAGGCTCTGAGCAACTTGTGAGAGGTGTTTTTCATGGTCACCGTCGTCGTTCTGGAAACGGGTGTGACCGAGTAATTATTTTGCACTCCATTTGATTTATAGTTACTACACTTCCTAACATTAAATGCTAAGGTTGACCTTAGAATGGTGGCTTCCCGCACATGCCGGAAACTATTATCGTAGAGGCACTTGTAGCGTGTGAGAAAAATGACCGGTCCTTTATTTAGCCCACTGTGCGAAAACCATGACCACCCTTTGTAACTACATGTTTATTACTGTTTGAAGAACGTCCACGATTTCCATGCACTTGGCTTGACTTAACATTTGAGGATAGAGCTGGACTCATACACAAGAAGTGCTATCACTTTGCTAGTTTACCTTCATTCCGTGTTCGACTGCTTCACACTACACGTCTACTGTGCGAACTCATCGGACAGCTCATCTAGCTATTGAATACTTTCTCATGTTGCTCCACTGGTTCAGCCTCATTCATTTGTTGGTCTGTTTTCTGTTCACGGCTAACTGACCTAATTTGCACGCAGGCATTCCCTCACTTTCGATATCCTATTTAGTTGGATACATCCTACATATCGTCGCCTAGTAGCTCGATTGTGCACTTGCGCTCTATCTGCGCTTTTGTTGTGCTTCACCTAACCGAAGACTAATACATACAAGAAGAAACCACCAGGTTCCTTATCCAAAAGGCCATCTGATCAGCATGCGCGTTGCGCGCCAAAATTGTATATGGACTAGTGTTACACAGCGCTCTGGGCGTAGTGAACTGGTACAACAAGGACGTACTTTACTTCCCGACTGTAGTTCCAGTTTGATGTCGTTCGTCACCTATTTCTAAGACTGTCTGTGTACTTCGACCTAATAGGAATCGATTGAAACAAGTAAATGGGAGAAGTCGCCCGAATCCTCCAAAACAGCTGAATCGCAACCTAGCACATGGACCACAAGTCACTGGCAAAGCGCCAACGAACCATCAAAGGCTACCCCTTCCGGAGCCCCTACCGTAACCATTGTTGAGCCAGTCAAGATGAATGCACCTGCTGAACAACCTGCTGCCACTTCTGTTCTCCAGCGCCTGCGAATGACACAGTCGATGAGAGTGGATGATGAGGCAGTTTCCCTTGTGGAGGCTGCAGAAATTAAGACGTCAGAAAAGTCACTTCCAGAAGAAGCGACTAAGCCAGCCGATGCAGTTGCTGTTGCAGCTTCCTTTTCTTACCCCGTGATAGCCAAACCAGCAGATGCACTTACCGAAATATCCAAACCACAACCGGTGCCCGGAAAGACAATTGAACAGGTATTTCCCACCTCTTTGATTGCTGTTCTGCTAACCTGGCATTGGCATATGCACTTTCTTAAACGGTATACTGTTTTCACTTTAATTGTGCCATTTACCTGAGTCTGGTTGTCTGTTGCCATCGGAGCGACACATTTGAGTCACCCGTATTCCGTAACTCACAGCCCTCTTCTTAATTTCCAGACGCGAAAGGTGATTGCTATTCGTGGTCGATCTAGTTCGTCGGGCTCTACTTCCGCCGACTCCTCAGCATCATCTTCCTCATCTTCATCTAGCCGTTCGTCCTCAAGGGGACGGGGTGCGACTAGACGTTCTGTTAGCCCGCTCACTCGTAGCTCCCATCGGCGTAGTGATTTTTCGGATTCTCGCAGTCGAGGACGAGGTAGCTATTACGGACGATACTCGCCGATGAGACGTTCCCGCTATTCTCGTTCCCGATCTAGGTCACTTTCTACCTTCAGATCCACAGTTCATAGTGGATACTCAAGCAATCGTAATCGCCGACGCTCTTGGTCACGATCTGGTTCTCGTTCATCCAGTGATTCACGTTCACCAAGTTCTCGTTGGGCTGGGAGTAGTAGCCGACGTTACAGCTCTTCACGACATCGCCGGGGCCGGCGGTCACGTCGCTACTCAGGCTTCCGACGACCGTCCTCTAGTCGAAGCTGCTCTTCTTCAGGCAGTTACAGTTCATCTTCGAGACGCCGTTGAGCCTACCCACGTATGTAGAATGAGCGTCGTTCTTCCACCTCTGTTCGCTTGTTGGTTTCCGGATTCCTTTACCACCACTCATTTTAATGAATATAAATTTGTACACAGAAACACCTAACCTTTTCCTCCGTTGAGGGCAAGTTGATTCGTTCAAGCTCCCCGAATGTTGCCACATCGTAAAACGTATGTACATGTGTGACGTTATTCAAATAGTGTGGCCGAGCGTTTTGCTAGTCGCTGTCAGTGCAGCGCAAGATTCGTAGTCATTTTTACTGTCTGTATGTTGCTCTACTCCCAGCGCTTAGTGTGGATGGACACGCAGGATTAATCATTCCAGTGCTGGTCCTCGGACGGACCAACGAACCATGTTCATAAATACCGGTATTCCTGTAAACTTTTGTCTGAGTTGTTCTAGGATTGCTATCATAGGGTGTCTTGCTTCATCTACGTGAGTTATTTTGGCGCATTACCATCCGGTGCTACAGGCCAACTTAGCTCGATCGGTTGACAATCAAGGAAGAATTGACCAATTTGCTTCGATCCTGAATCCTTTGCAACCTCTGGTGGGTTCTGTGGGATGGTGATTCTGTAGGAGAATGTCTGAGACCGCTTCCGAGAGCGAGTAAATAACACAACTGGTTCTGACTCATTATTTCATGAGGCAGATGGGACTGGACTACGTTCCTATGTCCGAGAATAGAATGTATGGTATGTCCGCTCACACGGCGTCAATTTTCGTAGTTCCATAGGCCCCAGTTACCAAATTCGCTCGATTCCAACAGATGGTGAATTTCCGCGACAGCTGGAAGACTGCAAACAACACTTTTCTACTCAGCAAAAACCATGTAAAACGATGGAACCTACCGAAAGCGGTTGCTTTCGGAAGCTGCAGTTAGCATCATCATCATCGACAGCATGACATCAGTGTTCAACACTGATGCTTCACTGCCGTACGACCATGATTTATTTGAAAGCCTTATTTTAAAGAAAAGAGTAAAGGTGGACGGGGAAGGGACTTAGTGCCAGCTTACCACGATTATTCCGAGGTGACTACCCCCCCAGACATTCACCCAGGCAGTCTGGATAGAAACTGACAACAAGAACGCCACTGACATCGGTTGGCAGCCATATGTTGTAGTGTCTCCAACCAGGGACAGTGAGGATCACGCGGTCCCTATCCTGGAAGGCGAGTAGCACCCAAGCGTTTAGCGATCTCCTTCATACTCCTCTGCAAAGTCAAGGGTTGGCCACCTCTCTGTTTACGCCACTCTGGGTTGGGTATGGAAAACAGCACTCTCTTCGGCAAACGATGGTTCGGCATACGTAACACATGTCCCAACCAACGCAGCTTCTGGTGCTGGACACATT